ACCTTTACCTCACCATGAGCAAGAATATTCTGAACTATACAAAATAAATAGCCCATCGGTTAGATTGTGTTTATTAACACTGACATCCATAATAGTTATATAGTTGCTATAATACTAATAAAGGAAACCAGAAACACCCAGAGAATTTCTATTGAGTTTTGTTCTGGTTTTGAAGATATTTTATTCTTTGCTGCCTATGTTATCTCATAATCCTGTGAATGTGGTTTGATAGTTAATGGTATCAACACGCCAGATTTGGTTAGTGGTTGGTTGGTGGAAGGAATAAAAGTTGTGTCTAATGGAGTGGTTGAAAGAAGTAAACCTTCTTTTGAACTTATAATTTCCACTTGGAAATAAGCGTTAAATGATTATAATGTCTATAGCTCACCTGACTTTGTTCTAGATCATCTAGGCCCAAAACATAATAGTGATGACATGAGAGTGAGTAAATTATGACAGAATTTCCATTTTTTTGGGTGAACTGTCCCTTCAAGTAATATTCTAAATGTAAATATTTTTGAGTAAGGCATTAAACAGAAGTGTCTCATACAAACCTAGAAAGAGTTCATAATAAGTAATTAAATTAAAATTCATAGTGGAGTGAGTGGTCAAGCTCATTTAATGTTTTGCTGAGTGGAAGTATTGTGACATAATGTTCAATGACAAGCAAATGCTCAGTCTTATAGTGAGTGCCGCATAAGGGCCTTACAGATTCTTTTGGCTTCAGAATACAAGATTAATCACATTAATGGCTTTTTTAGTTATGCTATGCAAAATGTTTATAGATTATGTATAGACCCTCTGGCAAGCACTGTGCTGCAGCAACAGGAATTGAAAAGAGGATAAAACCCAGTGGCTTATTTTGCAGTTTGACCCACCAATGCCTTCAAAGAAACACTAGTAGTACAAGCTTTTTCTTTACAAAAAAAATCACATTTCAGAAATGCCAACCACTTGAAAAACATATAAACCTATTTATAAATCACAACACTGCAAGAGCATAGTGGATATATTTGTCATGTTGACGTAAAGGTCTGTCTTTCAGTCTGTTTTTAAATGGCTTTGTAATCTTCAACATTTATAGTCCGTCTGGACAAACTTTACTTTTCTAATTAAAAACATTTCAAATATTTTTAATTTTACTTCCTTATATTCAGATCTAAAAAAGGCCAGTGTGGTACACAACAGCATTCAGACAAATCTGACAGTCGTTGTCCTCAAAAATTAAGTTTGTATGCAACAAACATTTCCAAGATTGACTGCCATGGTGGAAAAAAAAATCTAAACATTTCGACCAGATGATGACAAAAATAAATAAATAAATTCTATTTGGTGGCATTGGCCCATTTACTGACATAAAACAGTTTGCGATTGCACTCTGAATGGTACACAAATACACGCACTGATTACCAGATTCCAGTACCAGATCAAAGATGCCAATGCATTTATTGCTAAAAGACAATTTTATGGGAATGGATGGTGGACAACAATCCAACATGGAAGAATGGGTGTCAATTGTGAGTGAGCAGTGAAAGCATCTACAGTAAATGGTTATCACTTGAGACCTAATGCACTGGTGCTGGAATGGAAAGTGTCTAAATTAAATTTGCAGTCTCTTGCTATTACCATGTGAGTATCTATACAATTCGCTGTACTGTTCTTATAGGCTAAAGCTCACTGAATGCAGATATAGTGGCCGACTCAATGTCACAGGCCAGTATGCGAAAGAGAAAAGAGGACTGAAGAATGTTGAGGCCTGGAGGGGTGTGTGGGCTTCTGACGCCCCAAATAACGTTCCACAACAGTGGGTCTGGCTTGAGTGCGACTGTAACACAACATTGATTTCTCTCCAGGCCACAGAACGGGGGCTGGGGTTTGCAGAAAGCTCGAGCCTCATGGGGAAAAGCAGCTGACCGGAGAGAACAGCTGAGAGCCTGATTCACAGCCACCAAACCTTCTCCATCCCTACAGACATGAATTTCTCTACTTCTCTCAAACTTTCACCTCACATCACCCCAACCTTGTTTTGTATTAGTGGTTTTGTATTTATAGGCAAAGAAGGAGTCAGAGAATCAGTAAATGAGGAAAAGATTAGTCTCCTTATTTAGCCCAGCCCCAAGAAGGGAAAAGAATTGTGCTGGTAAAAGAACCTGTCAAGAACAGCTGATACACAGCGACAGACTCAAGGCCACTGTTTCTGGTCCATCTTCATAGTCTACAGGGAAAGAACTTCTAAGCACATCTAATCAAATCACCGCTTGGCTGGTTTTCTACAGCTGCAATGCCTCACTCCTTTCTTTCAGAAAGACACCACTGGCGGCTCCTCAGTGACCCCCTGTACCTCCATGAGGCTAAGCTAGGGGCATTAGAGCTAGTGCTACTTTGTATTTGTCTCTTTGTCCCCAATATTGAGCACATGATTGTTAAAATTAGCATTGAGATTAGCAATCGCTTAAAGCGGTGTAAGATATGACTGAAAATTTCATTTGAATTTTAAAAGGGCCGCCCGCATAGACCCTTTTTGTAATCATAATATATGAAACAAACATTATGCCTTGTCAAGTGAAACAGTTAAGCTGGCGTAAGAACTGCTTTAGGGTTTTTAGTGTCTTTTAGCTTTTTATATTTATGACTGACTAGAGCTATTGAAATTATGACCGCATAGACCCTTTTTGTAATCATAATTTATGAAACAAACATTATGCCTTGTCAAGTGAAACAGTTAAGCTGGTGTAAGAACTGCTTTAGGGTTTTTAGTGTCTTTTAGCTTTTTATATTTATGACTGACTAGAGCTATTGAAATTATGCATTCAGTATATCAAGTGTTTATGTTTATGTTTATTTGACAAAAAAGTAGTGAATACACTCTATTCGTCAAGGATAACACAATAAAGTTTAAAACAAAACATTGTGGTCCTTGATGTAAAGCACAAACTTCACTCCCGGTAACAGGTACACTGGCACTGCATTATAAATACAAAAATTACAATAAAATTCCACATTTACAAAAATGTACAGTCGCAAATAACAAAGTACGTAATACAAATTCATCAACAAAACAACCTACTTAAGAACCAACTTTTAGCTTTTTTTAAGTGGTTTAAAAAAATGTTTCCTGTTTGGAGAACAATCAAAAAAAAAAAAAGGAAGAAAAAGTATCAAAAAAAATTTAAAAAGTCAAAAGTGCACCATAAAATTATAAAAGTGGTCCATATGACTTGTGGTACATTCTTAGTGTTTTGAAGTCATATGATGGTGATGGTGAGAATCAAAAATTTTATTTTATATTCCATGAAAATCTTCTGTTAAACACTGGAACTGGATCATCGAATCAGTGAGTTGACTCAAGAACTGGATCGCACAATTCAGACGGGATATACCAAGATTGTTCACTTGTATAACTATGAGTGGAGTACTGTACTCGCAATATGGTGGAATACTTGCCAATTGGTAAAGTCATCGTGTCACTGCAGCTGTTGTTACAACCTCTGGTTTCCATGGAATCAGTCAGTGTGCTGAGATGCGAGCTTGCATGAGCATTGGCTGAACCAACCTGAAATACATACTTTTTAAATGCTGTTTGGTAATAATCTATATTAATGGGATAGTTCATGTCAGATTTTGTTGCTTATTTCAAATGCTATTTAAATGTGAGTTTAGCGACCAGTTTTGGGAATTTCTCCATTCAAGCAGATGAGAGTTGGTCTTGAATGCCCAAAATAGCTGCCAGAGGCATTGCAAATATGGCCACAAAGTGAACTGACTTTCCTTGAAAGGGGATTTGGAAAAACCAGAATGGTTTTGTAAATTGAATCAACTGATTTGAATTTGTTCATGAACTGGACATCAACATTCACACAAAGCTACAATATGACTTCAGTGGACTTGGAATATATAGCACACAAGTTGTATGGACCATTTTAGAGCCCTTTTATGGTGCTTTTTGTTATTTTTTATGCTTGAAAGCAGCAGGATAAAAGATCAACTCTATTGGAGAACCTGATTATTTTTAGAGTCAGTGGTGTTCATCTTTACTCAAAATTTGCATTGCCATATTTTTATTGCCATAATATTGGAGTGTTTTATCTGAATCATTTGTGGTGGGTTTCTTCTGAACATTTTGCTGGGCTTGTTTTCAAGGGATGTTGGAGTGGTTGTCCATCTTCTCCTTTTCCAGAAGCTTCTTGACTCATTAAGGGTGCCAGATCTACAGTTTGCAGGACGTGCTTTGGTTCTGACAGGAAGGTTATTGGTCATTTTGGAAGCATCCATGGGTATCTGGCTCAGTACAGTTGATGGGTTATGAAATATTCTGTACAGTTATTGTGGTCCCAGGCATCAGTATTCCAGGCCATCACGGGGTTGAGAAGATTGAATTTAATTCAGTGTGTCTCAGAAGGTGCTTGAGGCCTGAAGAATCTGGTAAAGGCCACCTTTCACGTCACAGCCTCTTTCTTCTCTCACGCTCACATTCCTTTAATCAGCCTTATCAAACCACTTTCAGAGCACTGAGTTTGGGAAGAGTGTGGACACAGCGGACTATAATCTGTGGTTTGTTTGAGACCTCAGTGAAATGTTGAGTCCAGCTGTTCTCCTGGTCTAAGCAGTGGTCTTTTATTGTGTGTTGTTTGATGACAAAAGATTGACTTGTCTGGGGTTTTTTTCCTTTTAGTTGTGTCAACACAGCCGTTCTCTCCCCCTCATCATCCACAACACAGAATAAAATATGTATGTAAGCACACACACCGCTCTTCCCTCCCTGTTTTCCAAAACTGGCCACCCCTTGCTGTTGACAGCTGTCCTGTTCCAAATCAACCTCCGTTCCCACCCACAACCAAACAGCAGGTCCAGAGTTCTGGACGTACATCAGAGAGATGTGATACAGCAGGAGCAGAAACACTGCTGGACAAACACATATTTTACAGGCATATTCTGCACTGTTTTATGCTGTTTGATATGCATAATGAATGTAACTTTTTTTGTTGTTTTCTTTTTTACAGTGAATGTAACAGTATCTGGGAGGCAGCACTTACTGGGATTGTACGATACTGCTGGACAAGTGAGTTAACGCTTCTGAAGTCTATATAGTCACAATGTATCAGAAGCATATCTTTTCTTCCATATTAATGTATATCCAAGTGAAACGGATTTCTGAAAAAAACATAGGGCAGGACTTGGTTCTATCCGTCATTTGTTGATTGGATGGAAGCAGATTTAAATGAGAGCTTGCAGTATATTGTAAGAAAGGAGCGGGGTTTCAGCAGACAAAATGATTGGAGAAGTTCGACATACATCACCAGATAGCAGTCGTTTTACCCAGATGATCGAGTCATGACACAAAAATCAAGTTTTTCACTAGGTTAATTTCAACTATCCCCTTATAAAGGCAGTCTAATTTAATCAATATAGAAATGGCACCGAGATTTACATTGAAACTCTGTAATAAAAACATTACTAAATGGCGTTGTGGCCATGCATCAGATCACTCTGAATGCAAACTCCTTTTGCATCACAGTCACGTTCAATGGCATAATTTACAGCCTGTTTTGAATAATGTTGTAAATAAAGCTGCAAGCACTGACTTGAAATTACAAGAAACCACAGGTTGGGAAGTTTTTGTCACTGTCAGCCAGAGGCGGACAAAGTACTCAACTCCATTACTTGAGTGAAAGACACAACTGTAGCTGTATAACTTTACAACAGCAACACTGCTTTAACAAAAAAGCAAAACAGCAAGACCTATTTGACATCAAAACAAACATTTTAAAAATGCTGTCTAATCGCTTTCGTGGTACTTTGATGTCACAAACAGAACGGTCTGTGCAGTGCTGCTTCAAGTCCAACACCTATTGTGTTTTATTAGGAGATGCACAACAGTTTTTCTGTGGCTTTATAGGTAATATTTTCACGTACACAATTTAGCAAAATCAGAAAATATTGTGTCTAATATATAATACAATATCAACTTCTTATTATTGAATTGTTGTAAATAAATATCACATTAGCAGCTGGTCAGTGTTAAAAAAATGCTGGGAAATCACTTCATGTAGCCCTACAAGAGTGATTACTGATAAACTGTCTGAAAAAAAGAAAGTCAAGATTTAGAGAAGAAAAAAATCACCCACTGACTTTCAAAGCTGCTACATAGTAACGACTTTCTACTTCGAGGACCTTGATAGAAATGTAGTGGAGTGAAAAGTACAATATTTGTCTTTCAAATGTAGTGAAGTTAAAGTCATAAGTTCCCAGAAAAAATAATACTCAAGTAAAGTACAGATACTCAAAAAGTGTACTTAAGTACAATACTCAAGTAAATTTACTTAGTTACTGTCCGCCTCTGCTGTCAGCCCACCATAATGACTTTGATTTTGGCTTATTGCAGTGATTCTTCAAAAGGAAACTCACATAGTCATATACAGCCTGATGCGTCTGAACCAAAGCCCAGCTATTTACATTTCTTGTGTGTCTAAACTGGCATCACAGAATCAGCCATCCCTGTAATACCCATCTTATGAGACCCCAGTTGTTAGAGTTTTAATCCTAGAATATATATTGCAACAGATTACAATGTCTAAACATAAAAAACAGACATAAAGAACTTGATATGAGAAGTCGATAACTTTCTATCCTGTGCTTGTGTGACCCATCCAAATTAGCTTTAGCATCTGTGTTAGCATTATGGATAAGAATTTTTGTTATCTATTTATATTTTACTTTTAATTGTTCTATGTACAGTGTCAGGTGGTGATATTGTAGTATTCTTTATATGAAATTATAGTATTTATCAATATTTTATTTATTTTTATATTTTCAGTTTTACTTTTAGTAATTTCGTTATTTGTGCTTTTGTGATTTTTAGTTTTTGTATTTTTAAATATTTCTGTTTGAGCTTTAACTTATTTTTGTTTCAGTTTTTTAGTACTTAAACGAAAAAATGTTGCCTTGGCAACTAACTGAAATAAGTTTTTCCATCTAATATTTATAATTTTATATTATTTCTGCTTTATTTCAATTACGACTTAAGAGTTTTAGTTAGCAATAACAATTACACTGGCTTCAGAATTATTCACAATTTTTTAACAATTTTAAAATAAAAATTACTATCCCAAATCTAAAAAATAAAAATGAGGCCTTTTGACATTTGTGTTGTTACTAAACTTCAATTGTTTTCATGATTGATCATTACTATCACTTCCACTCATCTGTTTAACAATTTCAGCATCAGTTTTATTGGCTTGGTAAGATTGCTCTTATAAGTTATTCTCTTTTTTCCATGAGGAATATTCTCTTATAAGGACTTTGGCAGTTGCTGACATTGCACAGGGGGATGGCATTCATTAAACAGGATGTAGTTTCCAACAGTGCATAAATTTAAATAAATGAGAGAATAAACAATTATTTTGTATGCAAAAACATGCAATACAAGGAAAATAGCATTATATGCATATTTTATAATAGATGTCTCAGATACTGTACCAGACTGGTAAAAAGTGCTATAGGGTACTGATTTGCATAACAGTATAATTATTTACCAACATTTACCAACAATGCAATGAGGGCCACTTTTTTTTTACTTTGTTTCAAGGACCGTTTTTGCTTGAAATAATAAAGAAAGCTAAAGTGTGAGTATGACTGTTCAGCTTGATATAATTATGTAAATGTTTCTTAGGATATATAGCTGTAGCAAGCACAGTATGAGCTGTAATGACAAATATTTGCTGTGTTTCAGAATCGAAAAGACTGACTAATGTAGTGCGCCACACATTGCCTTATAAATGAAAGTTATATAATTCCGTACATCTGCTCCCGTAAGCAGTTCACTGATACAGAGGAGCATCTGTGTGATGTCTGGCCCTTCTCTTCTATTGATCACTTACTAGAAGATCAATGGCTTTCAAGAAGAACTAACTTTTACAAGATGCTGACGCTGGTGCCGAGCTGTCATTCGGCACTGATATTTTAAAGGCCTAATGTAAATTATTTATGTTCATTTGCATTTCATAATAAGTGACAGAATAAAGTCATGGATAATAATGATGCTCTACAAGTTAAATTTTACCAGAACATTATATTTATTGACTCAGACATCCACATTTTTTACTGTTTCACCAGTGATCCCCAACCAGGGGTACCTGCAAATCAGGTTCTCCTTAAACAGAGGATTTTCAAATGTTTTTTAAAGTCTCTTATGCTCACCAAGGCTGCATTTATTCATACATTTATATAATTATGTAAATTGAGCGCAACTGATGGGGTTGTGGGGTATGTTAGACAAAAAAGCTTTAATTGAAGCTTTAACCTTTAAATGAATCATCTGCCCTCTTTCACTTATATTTTGTTTTTCAAAAAGATCTTTTGCATCATATTTCAGTTGTAAGAGAAATGAACCGAGTCTAAAGCAGATCTTACTTTACTCGTCATATAGGAGGATTACAACCAGCTGCGGCCCCTCTCCTACCCCAACACAGACGTCTTTCTCATCTGCTTCTCTGTTGTGAATCCAGCTTCCTATCACAATGTGCAGGAGGAATGGGTACCTGAGCTCATATCCTGCATGCCTCACGTGCCCTATATCCTCATTGGAACACAGGTGCAAGAGTTTCTAATTCAGACAGTGATGTGATTTAATAATAATAATAACTTGTATTAGTTTTTTTGTTGTTTGTATTTTATTATCAGATAAAACATTAATAAAAATAAATAAATAATTTATTGTTATTATTATTATTGTTGCTGTATTTTTATTATCAGATAAAACATTAATATTATTAATAATAGTAATAATAATAATAGTTATTGTTTATTTTCTATTATCAGATCAAAAATTGAAATTAGTCATCAAAACAAAGTCAAAATATGAATATTTATGGAAAATAAAATACATTAAATGAAATGTGTAACTATTTATTTATTTCTTTTCCTTCAGATTGACTTGCGAGATGACCCAAAGACACTAGCACGTCTGCTTCAGATGAAGGAGAAGCCATTGACCTATGAGCAAGGCCTCAAACTAGCCAGAGAGGTGATGAATGTTCATATGTTTGGTGGTTTGGCTTAGTTGTCAGTTGTTTCCAGGTTTCAAAAAATAGAAAGCATGATTCGTAAACTATCATCACTGTGCAACAAAGCACTGAAAGGATTCATTAAAATTCGGTCTCATCCTCATGCTGTTCAGAAAAAACACACAAAAAAAGCTCAACGGAGTGTTTGAGCTTCTGAGAGTGAATGGTGACCATGACTTTCAAGCATGATTTTCAATGAAAAATTATTAGTGAATAAAAAGTTCACTAAATAAAAAAAATGTACTGTCCCTTTAACCCAAAGCTGAGTGTTTTGTTTCAAAATTGTATATTGTTGTCCACAGATTGGAGCCCAGTGTTATCTAGAGTGTTCGGCACTGACTCAGAAGGGACTAAAGACAGTATTTGATGAGGCCATCCTGACAATCTTCAGCCCAAAGAAACAAAAACGGGGCTGCGCGGCCTGCAGGAGCTGTTGTGCTATCGTGTGAGGAAGATACATCTCCAACTGTGAACGCCCACTCTCCTCCAAAGCTTTGGGCAGAGTAACAGACCCTAAACTGCCTCCAGTCTGCTGTACATCCTTCCTTTCTCCATCCGCCTGTTGTCCCTCAGGACAATGAGCGGCCTTGCCCTCGGTTTGTGTGTCTCGAGGAGAGCTACACTGTCCAAAACAAGTGCCTTAATTTCTCTCCACATTGCCTTACAGTATTCGCTTCTCAAGCCAAAGAAGTCTCAGATGGGACTGCGGTTACTTGAACCAATGTGGCACGACGTCGACAATCACCAATCAAACATTTCAGATTCAGCTCTGGGCCATTGGATTTTTTAAAAACCACTATACTATAGGGTTTCTCAAGGCTTATGAAAAAAATTTAAATCCATTCCTCCGTACAAGCTGGCTTTCTCTCAGTCACCTCAAATCAATATTGCGCTCTTTCTGGAGTCAATGCTTCAGCAGTTCGGGCTAGTAGTTAATAAGGGAAATTCTCTGGAGGACGGCCAACTCATAAATAGATGTAGAACATACAAAAAGAGAGAGACGAGATTAAGAAATGCATCTTTACCACAAATCCTTAGGTCATTCAAAATGAGCAACTTCAAATAACACTGATAAACTGCTACAGAACTACACATCCAAAGATACCTTAAATAATGTATTATTCATTAAAAAGATTGACAGTCAAGTACACTATACTTATATATTCGTGACAACATTAGCCCATGAATCATTCATATTTCCTTGTGTTTTCAAAGCTGAGATACCCTGAAGTGTACTTAGTCACATTTTTGTAAGCCATCAGACCTTTATCTCTATGCACAGTGTAGGTGTAGAACAATGATGCCATATAATGGTGTTGTAATAGTTATATTTTTCATACGCATTTACATTTTGATTTTTAAAGGGGCCTGTATTTTGTCTTCTCAAATGACAATTTAAATTGTCATTTGAGAATTTTCCTCTAATAAAAATGAGCCGATGGAAGACTAAAAGTATGGAGAACTGTACTTGCCACTTAAAATGAAGAAATCAATCACCAATGTATTAAAAAATTTAAATCGATTGATAGATAAATCTTTATAGATAAATAAATAAATCATGTTTAAATTACAACATATTTTAAAGTTTATTTCATTGTTAAAAATGTAGTTAAATGTAACAAATTAAATATTAATAAATCATTTTAAATGCAACATTTAAACTGTATTTTCATGAAGCACTGCTTTTCGTAAACCATTTGCCAGCTGCAATTTTAAAATGCAATTTAAAACTGTTACAGAGCAACCTGGAAGTTACACTCTAAAAAATGCTGGGTTGTTTCAACCCAATTTTGG